GCTTATAAATTGCTTACTGTAAACAATGTGGTAGGAAGAAAAATGAATGCCCTCACCTACTTGGAGGTCTGAGAACTCTTTGTAGCAGGCTGGGACAAGTTCAATGACCAGTTTGTGGATAAATTTGCTCTGAGTGGTTGTGACCTGCATTTGGTGGGCAGTCTACAAGGGATGCACCTTGGATCCAGTTAAATTTGATAAGTTCCAGTTGTTAACATTTAGGATGCTGACTAGGAGTTTGGTGCTGTTTGTCCTGTTAGATGCCCACTTCATCCCTATTTATTTTGGTGAGGAGTTGCTGTTGAAGGAGGTTTCTGAATTACTAACGTTAACATTGCAAGTGGGAAGTAATGTTTTCTGCTGTTGAAACTATTGATGGCAGCACTCTGTTGCTTTAGCCACTGAATGCTTTTGTTTTATTTATAAAACTAGGAATAAGGCCCATTGTAGAAATAAATACAATGAGCACTAGAAAGAGGCTCTAGGAGAGTGCCAAGGCCATGGGCACTCAGCATCAATTTGCCATGGCAACCTCAGCAGGGTATGAGGACACAGAGTCCACGATTTTCTCCAGGGGAATGGATCAATGCCATCTAGAGAGCAGTTGTAATTCTGAGTGATCTCCAGCCCTCACCTGGAGATTGGCAACAGTGCGCCCCCATGAGGGAATGGCTGGTTTGGAGGGCAGTCTATGGCATTGTACCTGTCTGAGGCCACACTCCTCCTCAAACCTCACCCTCTCCAGGCTCCATCTCTCAAATCTCCAGGAATTCCCTACCTGGAGTTTGCAACCCTATCTCCTTCCCAGCCAAGCATCAATGTACCTTCATTTCCCCCTCACTGATCAGCTGTTCATTTCCCCGCCACCTGCAGCCTCTACCTGGAGTTGGCAACCCTATCTCCTTCCCAGCCAAGCATCAATATACCTTCATTTCCCCCTCACTGTTCAGCTTTCCATCTCCCACACACACACCTGCAGTCTCTACTGTGCTCTGAAGCCTTGGCTGTCATGGGGGGAGGGGCCT